CTAGCAATGGAGACAATATTGCCCTTTTTTACCTTGGAATATATTTAGCATGTATCATGTGTATTTTCATATGTTGTTTGCTCGTGTTGCCATGGCTGAAAAATAACATCACATCACATCTCTTTTCTAACAAATCTTTACTTAAATTTCCCTACCAAGTTGCTGTGAAGATAGCACCAGTTGTGAGGTGATAGCCTAATTGAATGATCCACTTGATGACAGTTCTCTGGTTAAGGTGATTAAAGTGAGCTGTCTGGTCAAGTCTGCACACTTATCAAACAAGAAAAGTGAGATTCTTTCCATTAATGATTACCCTTGGCTAAGATGTGGTTAACTGGAGCAGTCTGGAGCTGAGGATTGTCAGATTGATTCCGTCAAACACAGGAATGTAGGAAGAGATACAGACGATGTGTACGTCGACCTTGTCAGGTAAATAATTCTTGGATGTCACTTGACGATGCCCCTAGGTGAGGGGCTTATGGCATGTGTCACTGGTCAGGTATGTTTGTGTTACACTTGGGGACCACTCATTGATGATTCTTGAGTCCAGGTAATGCATGTGTATCAGGTGACACGACCGATAGTTGGTGCAGGTTATGGGAGGTATTCCATGTCATTGTCTTTTGGATTAGCACAGATCTCGACAGGATTAAATGTGTATCTCGTTTCATGATTCATTTGACACAATATGGATAAAACAAACCCCAGGTCATGTCTTTAACTGTCCAGTAAATGGGAGACGTAATATGGGATGGACTTCAGCATGTTCAGACACACTAGGCACAATGGAAGTTCAGAGTTGGTGATAATTCATGTTATTAGATGAATATGATCAAAGAGGCTATTGGATCATCTTGTTGTTATGCAGTGTGATGCATGTCAGAAAGTGTAAGGACTGTCACTATTTGATAGTCATGTTGAGGATGCGGTTAAAAATATGTTTGAAGACAGGGGGAAAAGCAGGGTTAAAAATTATCCCTAGTCCTATAGTCCTTACCAAACTGCTCAATAGTTAAGGTATCATAAGGACTAGTAGAAATATGCCATTTTTAAGTGTTTTGCTATTTGTTATCATTATGCATGTTATAAGGACTAAAAATGTTAGTTTCTACTGCTGAAAAGGGTTTTGAGACATACCCCACCCCTTCTCCAAACCGCAGATAGCAGCAACATTACTGATGCATCATTTATTAGCCGATAATCACTCACTCTCATCACCCTAAAACGTAATTGTAAAATTTTGGCATCCCCAAGGAGACTTTCAGGAAAGGCAGAATTGCATTAATGACTTCAAAACGTAGCAGAATAATGTATGTACCTGATGGAGCGCACTGACACCATGCATGGAAGGTTTCTGAACTGGTATCTTTTCATTTCATCTACAAATTCAATAGTGATGCTGTTCTTTTATAGTGTAAACATGGCAATTGGAACTGTAGTTTATTGGCTTGAATTGCAAAAAGGTTGATTTCGTTGGCCGAAATATTTGCAGACCTGTTAACCCCCACCCCCAAAGTAAGATTTTTAGCTAACATCAAACTGCTGCTAAAAGGATTCTAAAAATAATTTAATTTGATGAAAGTGTTTTCGGAAATGTTTCAGTATGTTCAGTTAAGCCTTGATGAATGAGCTTGGTGAGTCTGGAAGTTAACGAGTTGATGACTGCAGGACATGCACCCAGTCACCACGACTTACACAATGATCAGAACCAGGGCTGAAAGAAGGATGTGTCATGACAGTAAGAAACCAAACTAGAAAACAAATTTACAGAAGTTTTCCACACGTTCCATGTTGTTTTGGTTTCATCATGATCACGTTAGCATGGTAAGCACAAACCGGGAAAGTAGTCAAGTGGTCATGCGTCGGTGTTGATGATATGGACATGTACTTCTGTCACCCAGCTCCGTGTGTTGTGGCAAGCTTGTAGCTGCATCCAACAACAGCCAACAGCTGGATGGAGCAAACAATTATGCATGCTTATCATGCATACAAGTCGGCTATGATGCTTTTAATGTGGTTTACCATGCACTGAATAAAGGTGATTTGAAGCGCAGTAGCACGTTGAAAGAAGCTGATGTATTAACATGATTAAGCTCTGTAGTGCAGTGTACACGGTTAGAAATTAACGCCAGCCAGCTAGCCTGGGGCTAGTACAAATTCCTGTGGGCTAGTACAAGTTTCCAAATTTCTCCATTGCTTTAACATTACAATGGTATTTTAGCTTTACCCTGGCTTGTAAAGCTTTTCAGTTTAGTTGTAACCCTGGTGTAGAGTTCTGGAACTGGTAGCTTCAGTTTAGGATAATTAATCATAACACAGAGCTCCAGATAAGCTTTTGGTGTTGTGGGTATTTTACCCATGCATTTTAAAATCATTGGGTATCAGTAATTCTATCTGGGTATTCAAATTTCTGTTACCCACTAGTTTTTACATATGTGGGTATTTAAGTTAAATATTTAAAAACACTATTCATCTAGTCCCTGCAAACTGGTGTCGTGTGGGTTCGAGAGCTTATAGGACTAAAAAATACCACGATACTTCCACAAGAAAGTGTGATGGCAAATGATCGTGATGTAACTGTCATCGTGGTGTTTGGCAAGGTTGACGGAATGCCCGTTTATAATTTCAAAATAAGTTGCTGATTAGCTAATCGTATACTCAGGGTTACTTCACAATATTTTGATGATACGCACAAGTTTTATATTTGTAGCTTATCTGTAATGTTCGTTGCGTATTTGATACGCTTGGATTTTATTTTACTGCATATTTCCGCATTTCTGATGCATATTTTACGCAGATACGCAGCTTATCTGAAGCTCTGATAACAATTAACTATGCTACTCAGCTCTTGATGGTATTATCATCTATCATTCTATCTAAATATACACGACTTACGGGAATCTGTTTTGTGTATCATGGAAAGACAAAAATACCCCTATTACAAGTGGAGTAGTATATATTTCCATGATGTTGATGATGGGTGGCATGATAACAGGGACGTCAGTTGTCCTTAAAGAACCAGAGGCAGAACTTGAGGGGATTGAGGGATTATTGGTATAGTATTTGAATCTGGGGGTGCTTCAATTTGTACCCTTGTACCCCAGGTATGACATGGTCCCCTTGACTTAGCGGTACATTCTTTATGTGACACTAATAACCATGGCAGCAGTGGCAGGATAGGATGTAGTGTTACCTTTATGAATGTATAGCATTTTTCCAGCTATATTATGTTGGCCTGAAATAATTAAATCATGACCAGACACATCATTGATTGATATTCTGTGCAGTGTCCCATACATCAATGTATGAAGACACGCAATCAACCAAGCCACCAGGTCTGACCATCTCTTTCTGATAGTATTGGTCGCTTCACGACAAGCATAGGGTGCTGGGACCTAGTCTTACCTGATCTAGCCATAGGGTGCTAGGGACCTCGTCTTTCCTGATATCCCCATAGGGTGCTGGGGACCTCGTCTTACCTGATCTCCCCATAGGGTGCAAGGGACCTCGTTTTCCCTGATCTCCCCATAGGGTGCTGGGAACCTAGTCTGGCTGAACTCCCCACAGGGTGCTGGGGACCTCGTCTTACCTGATCTCCCCATAGGGTGCAAGGGACCTCGTTTTCCCTGATATCCCCGATATCCCCATAGGGTGCTAGGGACCTCGTCTTACCTGATCTAGCCATAGGGTGCGAGGGACCTCGTCTTACCTGATCTCCCCATAGGGTGCTAGGGACTTCGTCTTACCTGATCTCCCCATAGGGTGCTAGGGACCTTGTCTTACCTGATCTAGCCATAGGGTGCTAGGGACCTTGTCTTACCTGATCTAGCCATAGGGTGCGAGGGACCTCGTTTTCCCTGATCTCCCCATAGGGTGCTGGGAACCTAGTCTGGCTGAACTCCCCACAGGGTGCTGGGAACCTAGTCTGGCTGAACTCCCCACAGGGTACTTGGGACCTCGTCTTACTTGATCTCCCCAAAGGGTGCTAGGGACCTAGTCTGGCTGAATTCCCCACATGGTGCTGGGGACCTAGTCTGGCTGAACTCCCCTGGCTGAACTCCCCACAGGGTGCTGAGGACCTAGTCTTACCTGATCTCCCCACAGGGTGCTGGGGACCTAGTCTTACCTGAACTCCCCATAGGGTGCGAGGGACCTCGTCTTACCTGAACTCCCCACAGGGTGCTGAGGACCTAGTCTTACCTGATCTCCCCATAGGATGCTGGGGACCTCAGTTAGTCTGGCTGAACTCACCATAGGGTAGATAATGATTTTTAGAAGATGTCAGACAATAATGAAGTGCCCCTATGACCCCTGTGAAATCAAATCTACATTTATGCCACTTTTGCCAGATGAGAATTCTACTATATGTTCAAGTGCAGTGTGAGGCAGGGAGGGGCTGTTTCCTTCTCTTCCATGTTCTCTACAGGAGGTGGTGAGTGATATTCCCTAGCCAGATACTCCTATATACATGGTATACATGAACCGAGTGTTGTGTGCAGCCACAGTGATGTTACTCAGGGAAATACAGTCCTTTGTAATCCAGATATTCACTATGCATGAACCTATCATAATAACCTTCCAGGTATTCTGTAACCCGCATATTCACTCAGACTATTATGTATGATAATGCTGTTATATGCAGGGTATTGACCTAGTTGACTCACACCGTAATGATTCACTCAACATATCAATGATTGCCAGACAGCAAGGATCAATATATGATGCATTTATTCTTTGGAGATAGTGACAAAGCTGTAAAAACCCATTGTGTTCTATGTTATTAATTGATAACTCAGGATAGACAGAATCTTCAAAGAAATTCTGTTGAATGGTGACACGTTACCCAGTGACTACTTACGAGGCTGTATTATTCATCAAAGCGTATCTTGATATCCTATCTCCTGAAGTAGTTGTAGATATACTTCTGAATGAAATACACAAAGGTTTTCACTGTAAGGAATTTCATACAGCAGTATATATACCTGCATTGCTTGATTGTACATGGTGTAGGTGTACATGGTATATTGGATGGGATCGGTTCGTGGACTTCGGTATGTTGAGGGATGTTACTCTTCTGCACTCATGACAATATAAGAGACGCCGGGATCACTTCTCTCTCCACTCCTCCTCGTATTGTGGGAGTGAGGTCATGTGTGGGATTGTGGCCTGGCTGACACATTCTTCTCCACCAATTTCATGACAACCATTAGGTGAAAGTGGGGCAAGAGTACTCATAGATTGACCCAGAGCCTAACACTCAGGTGCCGAATGGCCTTGTGGATGTGTGGAATTTGAGGGGGAGGTTCTGTCTGGATAGTTCATATTGTCTGTGACATTGATAGGATCATTGATTACCGGTGCACTTTGTAGTAGGACCTGGACTGTGTACACAGGGTCTAGGAGTTTACCTGGGTCGTCAAGTTGAGGACATACTCAGGTGAGCTTAAACGATGGAGTGTAAATAGTCTTGCTGTGGCAGTATGTCTACAGGCTTGTGACATGAGCATATTTTGACACCAACATGCTGATTTTAGTGTGGGAAGGATGATTAATGGAATACATCAAGTTTTGATTTGATTTGTAGCGTAGGTTGACATACACAATGACACGTTACCTATTGATTAATTCCCACAGAATTGTGTCTGTGCACTGTAAATATCTGTGCATCACAGCACTGTTGCCTTTTTCACCTGTAGGACCAAAATAATGTTTGTGGCATGAGGGCAGTGTAGGTGATGGATGCAAGAGCAAGACAGATTGACCATCCTTACCCTGATTGCTTGACATTCCGTACCATGATACGTCTCGTATTGTCACCTCACTATTTTTGTAATTATCATATCGTGAGTTTGTGTATCCTGTTGGGATATTTTACATTTTTGCCATGTCCTTGACTTATCTGATTAATAAGTGATGACTTACTATGATTTACAGACCATATTTGTTTTGTTTTGTGGGCATAGATCATGAAGATGCACGCCCTTTAGCATGTTTAGATTAATTATTTAAAATAATTGATTTTTGAAACTTTGCCCATAAATATATAGTATAATTAGATATCAAGTACTGTATGTCATGTATATTATTTATGAAGGTTTTTTGAAGGGAGACAGTGAAGTGATAAATCAGTGACAGAAAAATCTATGAACTCAACATCAGCTTGCTTTTTTTTAGTCTATGTCTTACAAGATATGTATAGAATGACTTATACTTGTATGACTTATATGTGTGATTGAAAATCTAACTCTTTTGGCATCATGAATTATAAGAGAGCCACACATTGCCTAGTATCCATGATACCGACAGTGACGAATATCAGATGTCATGTTTAGCATGATATGTCCTGGTATGGTGATTTAGCCCGCCACATTGTATAGATCAGCTATAGCCGCCAGCCATAGTCAGTAGGACTCATCTCAACAGAATCATATTACCATGACCAATTTCAGTCACAAGTAAACAAATATGGGTGAATCATCCTGATCATCTACACATTTTAGTTTGAGTACACCTGAAATCACCTGTGCCATAAGAGGTTAGTCACCACTCTGCATTTACATAGCACTGTAGCATACATATGAGGACATCACTTTATTCAGGGCCAAAGAGAAGAGTTCATGATATCTGTGGTTGTCATTATTGTGTATCTGTTAAATTGTCTTTGGTAATAAAATGAGAGAAAATGAAGTGTAATGTAAATGAAAAACTAGTGTAGACATGGAAGATACAGATTTTCCTGTCCAAGGTAAAACAAATTAGAACCTATACCTGATACATGCTATAAGCTGTTATATTTTAAAATTGTAGCAAAACAAATGTGAACATTTTTACAGTATTGTAGAATATACACATGATCATGATGATATTTTGTGGTTTACTGCATGCATTGAGAATCATGGTTTATGATGCATGCATGTAGTATTGTGTTACATAGTGCATACATGTATGGAGTATTGCGGTACATAGTGCATACATGCATGGAGTATTGTTGTATATAGTGCATACATGTATGGAGTATTGTGGTACATAATGCATACATGCATCGAGTATTGTGGTACATAGTGCATACATGCAAGTAGTATTGTGGTACATAGTGCATACATGCATGAAGTAATTGTGGTACATAGTGCATACATGTATGGAGTATTGTGTTACATAATGCATACATGCATGGAGTATTGTGGTACATAGTGCTTACTTGTATGGAATATTGTGGTATGTAGTGCATACATGCATCGAATATTGTGGTATATAGTACTTACATGTATGGAGTATTGTGGTACATAGTGCTTACATGTATGGAGTATTGTGGTACATAGTGCATACATGCATGTAGTATTGTGGTACAAAGTGCATACACACATAAAGTAATTGTGGTACATAGTGCTTACATGTATGGAATATCGTGGTACATAGTGCATACATGCATCGAGTATTGTGGTACATAGTGTGTGTATGGACTAATATGGTTCATATTGCCTTACATACATGAATGATTACAGTGAGAGAGAAACTAACAATTTTGATCCACAAGTCCTTTTAATTATAACATATAGAAAAACCCTTAAAAATAACAAATATCTACTAGTCCTTCTGATACTTTTACTATTTGGCAGTTTGGGAAGGACTATGGACATGATGGAACTAGTACCCATTTCTATCACTGGATTATGGTTTATATGTTATACATGTATCATGGGTTATATGTTATACATGTATCATGGGTTATAATGCAGGATTTTTATGCATTATAATGCAGGGTCAGTATAATGGGTAATCATGAATTGTGTATTCTGGGTTATAATGCAAGGAGTATTCTGGGTTATGATGCATGGGCTATTATGAGTTTAATGCATGCATCATATAACTGGGGTGGTCGGGTAGCCTAGTGGTTAAAGCGTTTGCTTGTCACCAGCCTCGTTGCAGACTGGGCAGTATTGTTCGGAAGTCTCTGGGCAGTCTGGGCAGTTCAAAACCCTCAAGGATAACATACGTAAGTACAGTAGGTCATGAGGTGTGGAAGGAGTCAGCGGAATATACCTGTAATGAGTAGGAGGGGTGGAGTGCTAGCCTAGAGGTTAAAGTGTTCGCTCATCATGCTGAAGACCCAGGTTCGATTCCCGACATAGGTACAATGTGTGAAGCCCATTTCTGGTGTCCCCCGCCGTGATATTGCTGGAATATTGCTAAAAGCGGCGTAAAACCATACTCACTCACTCTTCATATAATGTCTTGCTGGATGTGACTGTACTCTCATATTGTTGTGTATTGTCAAGCTGTTCTACCTACCTGTCTTCTGATAACAAGATTGACATGTGAGAGGGATGAATCATAGCTGTTAAACATGCCTGTTCATGCAGAATACAAAGATGATTCAACATTTATTGTGTATCAAGGACAGAGTTGCAAACTGACATTGAACAACAACCTGGTGTTTTGACAACTATGAAATGATGGAAGATGCCGATCCTTGTTCTTGACATGGTAGATGTTTGACAGTATCTGTATCACAAGAGAAAAGCACACACTAATGCTTGTCTTGTTATACAGTGTGAGAGCTTTGTGCCTCAGCAGTGATCATCAAGTGTATAACAAGAGACCCAACATAGACATATTTAATCAAATGTATAACGTCTTCAGAGGGGAAAATAATGGGCACTTATCCACTCACCAAAACAATTTACCAAGTATTAATGGCGTGCTATATCATGTTTAAATATGTCTCTTCTTTAATAGTTTCCCTGTATGGAGTCACCACTGGGGCAGGGAGAAATGAGCTCTTGTACCTGAAATGACCTGAAACTAGGGCTGGGACGATTTACTACCTGGGTACCCACTACCCTATGACTCGACCCTACCTGGATACCCGCTGTAGATATCTAGAGATAGGTACTAACTGTCCCATTTGGAAAAGTTTGACCATAGCCCTGGCAAAATGTATTTAGATACATGTATAAAGTGATCTAGTCATGCATACACTGATGTTTACTACATGAAGTTCATGCATCTTAATTCAAATATATAAAAGTCAGAAGGAATGGATGCATAGTCAGAAAGAAATGGGAACATTAGTGACTTGTTGTGTAACCATAGAGTTTTAGATACTTTTTGTCATTAAACAATATATTACGTGACTAACCGTGGGTCCGGGTAGTCCTGTGGGTACCCGGGTCATACTCAGAACCCACTCGACCCGGGTACCCGAGTTACCCATCCCATCCCTACCTGATACCATTTAAAATACAATGAGGAAATGGTGATATTTAGCATTTATGTCCTCATACCTCCTGGAGATTCTCAGGGTAGCTTCCCTAGCTTCCCTGTAAATTATGATGTTTGTAACAATCATTTTATGTGGATCAGGTTGTCAGACTGATTTTGCTGGCACAGTGGCGTGCCCTGATGACGTGGATCGTGGATCGCTGCTCTTGCTTGTGCTCAGTGTTGCCTGATCTACTTGTGAATGTTTCCAGGTGGTCGTGATATTGGTGGGATATTGCTAACTGCAGCATTGAACAACAGTCATTCATATATTTTATTCTATATAATATTTGGTATTGATATGGTATCTCATGATACTTGCATCATGGCAAAGGTATTGTGATGCATCGACACCTTGATGCATTGTTGGCAGCCCTAAGCATGTGATACATGCTAAGCATCAGTGTCACTTCACCCTTCTGCTTCAAATTGTTACTGACTTTGAAGCTGTTCAGTTATTACGGCAGAGTATTGTTTAAATGATTCATGAGCAATTCCAGCCTTATAGAAACATGATATTTTATCTCCATCATCTTGATGCATAGCTGCAACACCTGTAGAATAAATAGCGTGACACCAAGCAGACTTTGTGAAAGGGATAACAAACAAGTTGAACATGGCAAGATACTGAATTTATTGACTGCTGGACCCATGAAGATCCGGGGTAGAATAGGTCTTCAGCAACCCATGCTTGCTGTAAAAGGCGACTATGCTTGTCGTAAGAGGTGACTAACGGGATTGGGTGGTCAGGCTTGCTTACTTGGTTGATGCATGTCATCGTATCCATATTGCATGGATCTATGCTCATGATGTCAATCACTGGATTGTCTGCCCGTGACTCGAATCTTTACAGAATGCTGTCCTATAGCTTGAATATTGCTGAGTGTGGCGTAAAACAACAAACAAAACGAACAAAACAAACAACATAGTGTTTGACTAATGCCAGTACCTAAGCCAGTAGAGTTCTATGTAGCAATACGCAAGGCTAGTTCATGACACTAGTCATCCCGAGCATGCTCAGTGAAGAAATAGGTGCGTAGGAGTTATATTATCATTCAGTTTCTGTATTGATCTTGGTTGATTGATTTCCATGGTTTACCGTGAGAGAACTCCCATTGCACTCATTTCATTGATTACTATCCCATTAATTTGTGTAGTGTTTATGTTCACAGCGAA